GCTGCAGCGTGTGGAGCTCAGCATAGCACCAAAGAGGGAGGGAGGGAGAGAGAGAGAGAGAGAGAGAGAGAGAGAGAGAGAGAGAGAGAGAGGAGTTTGGGCTTCAGTGGGCCAAGGCAAGGAAAAAAGGTCTCCTCGTGATAATTAAATCTTCTCACACTGATTTTCTGCCAAATTTATTTCCCCAGGGACCATAACTCTGATTCAGTGCTTACAAGCCTTGCATAACTAATCATTTTAACGTGGGGGGAACCACAAACCTGAATGAATTGGGAGGAGAGAGGAGAAAATAAAAAAAGAGAGATGGCTAGACCAAGTGTGTGGCACTATTCATCTCTAAATCAATCATTATTTAGGCAGGACAAAAATCAGAAATAAGTGTGGAACGTTCTTCTGTAAGACTGCGTTTGAAACGGACCTTTAAAGTGAAGGTGTAATTGATTGTCAATGTGCTCTGTTTTACACTTTCTCTGCAGAGCTATACGAGCAGAAAACATCCTTTAATTCCTGGAACAAATAGAAACAATAAAGCCAATGAAGTGTCGGTTCAATATTCCTCTGACTGTTCCTGGCATGATTGTGTTGAACATAATAACACAACAAATAAGGCCATTTATCTGAAGTAACGACAGGAGATGAGGCTAACTCCGCTAATCAATACCAAATCAATACAAACCAGATTTTCTTACATCAAAATCACTGAGACAGATCTTTCTTCAGCGCAGAGTGCACAAGAGCAATACAGTGCCTCCCTGGAGCCCGGAGGGTAGATCATATAGCACGGTGAAAAGAATACAGCTTTAAAAAAATAAAAAGTAGCATGCTCTGCCCTGAGAGAGGATGCTGGGAACTATAATTATAGCTTAGTATAATTCAGACACTCTCCTTATTAAATCCTCATGTTTTAGTTAATGTGATGAGATCACGGACACCAGATCAGTCGTGTTTACCAGCGGATGAATTTCACCGCTTGTCCTTCAAGTGGCAGCCTGAGCAGCGGCGATGCTGCTCGGCGAGGTAGCGTGGCACGCCACACCGTGGCCCCGGTAATTAAAACATTTAAAGCAGAGCCAGCCCCCCTGTGCTCCCGGGGTGTGATATGGGGGTCACGCGCCTGTAGATTCTAATTTGCGCACCATTTGTATTCATGACAGGCACGTGCTAAATATTTAACAGCAGCCCGGCAGGAGTTTTGTATTGTTAGGCTTTCCAGGTCAAATAATTTGATTTCAAGGCAGATTACATTAAGCGTCAATGTCCAAGCCACTACTCTCACTTGCCTCTCATTTCCTGCCTTTTATTACAACCGAGATAGGCCAGAACTGAAGGGATATGGCTTCGGATAATACAAGAGCTTGTTATCCGCGGATTAGTTATTATTTTCAATTAGAAAAGGGATCACATCGTTTATTATGGACGAGCACACACCCACAACGGTATATGCAGACACTTGCATGCAGAGCGGAAATTTTAGCTGACTGACAAATTGTTTAGTGGAGCGTGTAATCACTCCCAACAAGAGAAATATCATTTCAATACAAATGACGGTTTCATTTGTATTGATTTAACGGAGTCATCCTACAGTCGGTAAGGATGTGTATCCTCTCCTTTTTCCGTATGTTGAACAAGAAGGCAAGAAACCCAATCCAGACATTTTCTGTTTCGGCCGAGGCCCTGTGGTGATTGACAACAGAGCTAGTTAAACGGTGATGAGGCGTTAATGGATGCTAGGTCGAGGAAGTGAGGGGAGGGGAATCTGCGGCTGAATATTTAATGGTCATATAATTCCTGAACACAGACACACACACAGACAGGTACACACCCAACCTGTGACCTGTCCTACACACCGCGTAATTAGGGAAACAGTCCTTTCGTTTAACTGCCAAAAGAGCACATGGTAGGTATATATCCCCCTAATGATATGGGTTAAAGAGCTATTATATGTCTCATTAAAATATATGATCTCCCAATCTGGTGGTGGTTTGAGGTAATGGGGAAAGTGCAGCATAAGGTCTAAAATACCGTCTGCAGGCTGTAGGCAAAGTGTCCAATCCGTATCTACATAATGCTGTGTGTTGGAGAGTGGCAGCACAAATGAAAAGATGTTTCTGTCAGTGCCTCGCGAACGGCACATCAACGAGTGTGAGGGAATGAACTCGGGTTATCAAGCATTTGACACCAATTTTCACGTCAACTGGTTGAGGTGTTACCTTTGTCTTTAACTCTGATGGACATGAGAAAATACATTTCAAGAAAAGCAGAATGAATTAACACGAGATCTTCATAAACCCGACCCCTGACCCCCTGACTCTGTTTATTGGTTCAATGTTAGCGAGGAGGGTGTAATGGACAGATCTCTTTCTCATCACATTTTAAATTCTCTCTCTTCATTTCTGGCCATCACACTTTGTCATTCCCAGTTGGGCTGGAGCAGCAACTATTAATGATAATCAATGATTATCATTTTAGTCTTTTGTTCACGTAACAAAGCCAAACATTCACTGGCACCAGCATCATTGTAAATGTGAGGATTTGAATTGAGCACTACTTGGATGCGACAGTAATGAAACTCAAAGCAGGTTCTCCTGATGCACAGGTAATATCGCCCACAAGAAAGGGAATGGAGGCCAACATTTCGGTCAGTAATTTGATATGTTTGGTTTACATCCAGCCCCACTACTTACTTACTACAGTAGCACCACACACACACACAGTAACTCTGGTTATATGTTGCCTTCAGTTAAGTACCAGGAGTCAGTAGAGTCCACATGAACAGAATGTGTTACACTGGCAGTCAGTCCATCTTATTATAGCTGGCCACACTATGTTAGCTAAAAGCCTCCTGGGCACACAAACAACATCTCTCAGCTTTAATAGCCTAAACAAGGCATGCTACTAACAAAGGCACCATCCTCCCCTCTCATTCTCACACCCTTTCATATCACTTGTTTCCTTTTTCAACCACTAGCATCATCTGGCTGCCCTTAACCAGGGAGCCAAACACTCTTTTTAAGTGGAAACTACTTTGTTAACTGATGACCACAGGGTCAGTTATTGATCCTCTCCGTTCTCTCTCTCAGTACACCCTGCTGATAAAACCCCCACTATTCTCGCAGGGCTCTGCAGAACGCAGCCACAGTTCGCTACAATAATAGATTGCATATCATAGCATTCACATGAATCAGATCTCGGTGGTTCGATTAGGGATAAACTAACTCAAACGCGTTGCCAGTCAAGGATGTGAATCTATTTATGAACGAGGAGTGTAGGTGGTAGTGTTCTTCACTTCTCCCCTCCATTCTCTTCAAAGTCTTTTTCTCATTTCACTTGACTTAGCGGTTCAAGTGTAAACTTTCTAGTTGTGTTGACCTCCAAGAGGCCCTGCGGGGAATAAGGAGACCCCTGGTGATCTGCTGTTTAGCAGCAGCAGTGGCCCTCCTCCTCCATTTCAGTTGTGCTTGGAGGAAGGGCAAAAGAGGATGGAGCTAGCTCACTCTGCTTGTGTCTACGTGTGTGGATGTGGTGTGTTTGTGTGTATTTGTGACCGTGCCACTGGCATCTCTTGCTACCAAGGCGAGGGCAAGTCGTCGGGGCCGCTCTGCAGAGCCGCTCCGATCTCACTTCATGCGTCTCCATGCGGGGAAAGGAATAAGACGATCCGTCCTCGAAGGCGGCGCCCGCACAGCATGCTGCATTGCACCGCTCCACCACACAATCAAGCGCAACATCTTATTTCACGCAGAACGAACAGTTGGAGTGAGGGGAGCTTTGAGCAAAAGAGCTGTGCTGAAACCAAAAAAAGAGGCAAGAGTGCAGTGTGAACTTAGCTTAAGAAAGCTGTTTGATTGGGAGACTGGCTCTGTTGCCCCGAGCGAGGCACTGAAGTCACCACTTTGGCAATGGTTTCCACTCAGAGCGGAGAGAAGCGGGAGAAAAGGAAGGAGTAAGAAAAGACACAGACGAGGGCAGGGAAGATGTGGAAATTGTTGATGAGGACGAATGGTAGTGAGAGAAAAAAAGAGATAGGATGTTCGACAGAATGTAGGAGCAGAAAACAGACAGACAGGGCATCCAGACCAAGAAAATTGAATAATATTAATGTGAGAATGGTGGAGAGGCTGAAAACAAAAAAAAAAACAGGGCGATATAGATACAAGGAGGGAATAAATTCTTCCTAGAACTGGGGGACCAAAGCAAGAGTGCCGGGCTAATTAGTTTCTAATGGCTGGACTTTCATTTGGCTAAAAGGTCAGCTAACCTTAAAGGCCACACTGCTCCATGCACACACACACAAATACACAAAATGAGTGGAGTGAGTGGAGAGAGAATCCAGCGATATATAAAAACACCCACACAAGAACAAATTATAATACACACACAGTGTAGTTAATAACAGCACATTTGATATGCTCATTTATGTCATGCTCTGGTCATAGCAGGGACCAAGGTCATTATTCCATCCAAAGACTTTGATTACTGCTAGCATACCCACTGAAAATAACTACATGAATGTACATAGGATGTGCGCAGAGATCATCTTTGTGTGTGTGTGTGTGTGTGTGTGTCTGCATGTTCTATGTAAAGCTAAGCACAAAGCTAAGCACATTTCCGCCTATGCATCTTTACGTAGATTACAGCTGTCTTAATAAAAAAATAAGGAGCGTAATCAGCGTCTCTAAGTTCATGTTTTGCAAAGTACAAATGAACTGCGAGGGAAGATTTCTCGTTTACAGGACAAGGGCGCATATACGTTCATCTGTTAATGTAAATATATTAGATGTGTTTAAGTCTGTTTAAGTCTACCTGACACAAGAAGCAGGAGCATAGTGAGGGTTGCACTCACGTTGACATTCATGGCATGGGAGCTATATAGAAGTGGATTATTGCACATAACAAGCTTTTTGTTTCAACCATCCTCCAGTTTATTTAAGACAGACGTTTTGCAACGGATGTTTTGTCGCCGAACAAAACTTTTTTTGTACATTCATACAGTAACTCACGTTCCTCTAGTTTCTTGCGGGCCTCCTCCTCCCTCTTTGCTACTTTGGCCTTCAGCACCTCGTCCGTCTTAGCTGAAAAAGAAAGACAGCGGTGTCAGGAGCGCAGCAGAACTTCAGGAACATCGCAATAGTTTTATTATGGAAAACAGTTAGGGATAGATTTATTGAGCGATTCAGGAATGCATTATTAATTATGATACATGATTATATATCTGTACTGAAAATAAAATAAAAAACAAATACAAATTATATATTTAAATTGGTTGTTCCCATTTAAAAAACACACATTTTTGTTGGCACAAATGCTATTTCTGTGGGAGATACTGCACTTTGATCACACCAGAGAATCATTGGATCAACAGTAAACGTACAAATCAGCAAAAATATGAATCATGCCTTCCCCTCCTCTCCCTACCAGACAGCATCCTTTTCTGCTTTCCCTTCATACCCCTGTAAAAGTCATCGAGTCTTCCTGAGAGGTGTTTATCGTCTCGGCATAATGAAAAGCTTAAGAGAAAGTGAGGCTGCGGGAGTAAACACTCGTCAGGGCATTTTAAGCATCTCTCATCGTGAGCCGTGTTGTCTCGGCTCCCTTTTCCTCCGCCTTTCCCCCTGAATAATCAAGATGTTAAGCCACATTAAAAAATATAATGCCGTGTATGGCAGGACTATCAATACTGCCTCTAAATTAATTACATTTCCGTTGCGGCGCATCATTTATTTTGCAGCGTTAAGGCCTCGGCGGAGCCATTCGCCTTTATTGCTATCTCACTTGGTTGATGAGTGAGCTATGTAAAATTGAGTCTCCAATATCATTACACTTAATGAGTTTAAACTTTGGGAGAGAGAAAAAAAAAAAAACAGACACAGAAGAAGAGAGCGAGAAGAAGGGGGAGGAAGCGAATGAGAACACTGCACTGTTTTGGGGAAGTTAATACGATATAAGAGTGGGTGTAAGTGTTTGTGAGCGCTTACAGAATGTTTGTGTTAGGGCACAGCTGTGGGTGTCCGAATGTGCTTTATTGCACCACTTGAGATGACTGCATGTGTGTTTTGTGTGCACTCTGTGTCTGATTGTGTGTTAGACTTTTCACTGCAAGCGAATATGTTACATAAAAAAACAACACATACATCATCTCTGTGTGTGTTTCTGTGTGTGTGTGTGTGTGTGTGTGTTTGGATGCAGGAGGCCATGGGTTGTGCTCGTCTCTCTGTGACTGCTCTGCTGTTTTGTTCAGTAATTGGCGTAGACAAAGAACCGTCACACTGCTGTTACGGCTGGTTAAGTCTGGAGGTTCCGCATCTTTACTAACAATGACTCTACATGGATGGCTGAACCTTCCTCTGCCTCCCTCAGCTGTGTGTGTGTGTGTGTGTGTGTGTGTGTGTGTGTGTGTGTGTGTGTGTGTGTGTGTGTGTGGGAGCATGCCTAACCAAATAAGCACAAATCAATCAGTCTCTCTTAGTTAACACAATCATAATGTAGCAAGTTTGTGTGTATGTACCTAAAACTAAACTACAGGCTGCACCATCCCTGCGTCTCTTTGCAACTACATTCATGACTTTTCTTGTTTGTATGCACAGATGTGGATGTCTGTGCGTACACCTGTGTGTGTGTGTGTGTGTGTGTGAGTGAGTGAACTCCTCTCTGTGATCTCCAGTTCCCTCTTTGCTGGGGGCTACCGAGAGGCAGGTAGGAGATGGAGCGTTACTGGTGGTGCAATGGAGCTGGGAGGGAGACGGGGGAGAAAGAGGAGGGAGAAAAGGGAAAGGCAGAGAGATGGGGGCCATGTAGGAAAAAGGAAGAACTGACAGCAAGGGGAACAAACAAAAAAACTAGCAGACTAAAGAGTAAAACCCTCACCTGCCATGCACACAAACAACAGGAGTGATTTGTCGCCTTTTTTTTTTGTTTGCATGTTTATCCTCCACCTCTATCGCTCCATCCCTCCCCCAACAGGTTCTCTCATCCTCTCGCTCTCTCTTCTCTGCTTCTGTTTTGCCCTCTCCCACCCATCCCCGTTTTTTTTATGCTTTCTCTTCCTTCTCTTGCTCATCTCTCTAGTACACTGTGCCTCGGGGCAATAGCAGCAAATCAAACTGTTTATCCATCTCTCATCAGTGCGCTGCCTCACGGGGTTCCTGCCCCCTCAAAACAATGAAAGTAGGCCTGAGCACTGAGCCAGGGATACGATTTAATTACATCAATAAAGAGCTCCGCTTTAAAACTACAAAACAATACATTACAGCAACACACTTTGCTACACTATCATGAATAGCCTGTTAACATTACAGTTGCATGTAAAAAAAAATTAAGCCTCACAGCTCTGCCCATCTAGAAATAAAGGCATATCTGTGCGAAGAGGCCGCTTATTGGAAGTATATTTCGTAGCAACTTAGTGGCTCCAGTTCATTGTCGGATAATGCTGTGATGGACTTTTATTAAAGCGGGTAATAAATGCCCGGGTGTTGGGGAGAGGAGAGGCCTTTCACTTCATTTACACTTCGTTCAGTCTTGGCTGCAGGGGCGGAGGGAAAGAGGAGAGATGGCAAGCAGGAAGGGGCGGCGAGCGCCACTGAAATCGCATTGTGATTATGAGTGTAATTGCAGCTCAGGGGCCCAGGGGCCATGTAGCTCTGATGGTGCTCGAAGATGTTTTATGCACGGCAACAGAGAGGAAGAAAGTGAGGAAGAGTGGGAGCGAGAGGCAGGCTGACAGAACGTTTGCAATTTTCTTCTTTACAGAATCTCCTCTTTTTCCTCCTCCCTTCTTTTTCTCCTTTCTTCTCCTCCTCCTCCTCCTCCTCCTCCCCCAACGTCCTCGTTTACTCCTCTCCTATTCTCTTCTCTCCTCCTCTCTCTTCTTTCTGTCCTCCTCCCTTGGCAGGATTAGCCGGGTCTCGTTAGAGGGGAAATGTAATAATGCTCCCACCAGGTGGAATCGGGCCCGCTCCATTATCAGCCGGGAGATGGATGGGCCATGTAGGGCCGGCGGGGGCCACGCGCGCACGCAATTTAGATTCAATAAACTGGCAAAGCAAGACCCCCAATCTGATTTATCTCTTACACGCCGCCAATGCTTGCTGCTACGATGCTGATTCCCTATTACCACTCAGAGAAGGACTATTCATTGGATGTAAGGCACGGCAGTAAGAGAGGCTTGTCGGGGCCCCCGGGACGGCAGCAAAACAGATACAGCAGTGGGTTAATACGTTTACACACAGATAAGCAATTAAATCTAAGGCTGATGTGAGTTATAGAGTTATTAAGGAGGGATTGGAGGGGGAGAAGGGAGGGATAAGGGGGTGAGAAAAAGAAGGAGGGAGCAGTTTTTCAGCACAGTAGTGTGGCAGCTTGGGCCTTAGGCCGGGTACAGTAAGTATCAGTAGTGAGAAAGGCTACCATATTATAGAGTTCATGAGGTGAGAGAACAACAGAAGAGCAGCAGCCTGCCCACGTTTTTCAGTAAACTCAATACCACACTTAGAAACTAGCAGTGCGAAAGACAGAGGTCAAAACAACAGTTATCCACTTAGTCTGTGAGCATTCATGTGAGTTTTTGAGCGAGTATATCTCTGCGCATCTTCGTGTCTAAATGTAAGCGGGTGTGTGTGTTGGCGTAATAGGCATATTCATAACTGCTGTTGGAGCGCGTGAGAGCCGCAGTGACGTTAGCGGCGCTGGTAGTGGTGGGTGTCGTTCCAGTGCAGCCGCCAATCAAAGCGAATCTGAATGTCAGCAGGAGAGGAGGCGTGATAAATCAGCCTCACACCCGACGACAAACAGAATATTAGAGGCAGCGCAGCGCCATTGGAAAAGTGTCCCTTACAATCAGCCGAGCACTTTACAGTGAAGCTCAACAGCCGGTCCCTCCGACCAACACTGAATAACAGAGAGACACGTAAGACGATGAATAAATAAATAAGATACAGACAGGTCAGAGGACAGACAAGCAGACGGACCTGTAGGTGCGCTGAGGAACAGCCGGCCCTGGCAGGCAGAGAGACGAGACAAAGAAACATAAGAACACAACGGGGCAGAGAGGACAGACACCAACGGACACATAACAGGCCGGACGGGAAAGAGGACAAAACACACAGACAGAAGACTGCTAAATAGTCCTGCTAAATGATATATTGCTGCAGCAACAATATCATATACCATGCCACAGTCCCTCTGTGAAGGAAATGCACTTCTGTTAGTTGGCAGCCATCAGAATAACAAGAAATCATGGCTCATTTGTTTGAACATTTACGCTGACAGCACAAGTCCATCCAGGTGTGACGAGTGCAAAGTCACAACCCAACACGATTCAATGTCACAAACGCATATTCCGGAAGCTTCGGCTGGTCCAGCGTGGCATGAAGAAGGCTTCAAATGGGAGCTGGAGAAAGACCTGATGCTGCGTCAGGTTGTTACCAACGAGGGATTCAAAAGACGGACTTAAACCTACACCAATATGAGGCAAACAATATCATCACACAGATTATTTTTTTGTTTTTTTTAAAGGTTGCCAACCTAAACTTGCAGCAGTTTACATAAAAAACAGACTTTAAGTTTTGTTTTTTTCACCTGTCAGGGGGTTCCAAAATTATCTGTGTGTAAACATATGATATCATTACTGTCCGGACGGGAAAGAGGACA